CGCGATTGTCCCGACAGCCCCGGGCCGGGCCCGGCGGCCCCCGCTGCCCCCGGACGGTGGCTTTGCTTTCCTGTCTCAGACATGCATATCCAGTCCTGTTTTAGGTGTTCTTATAAGAAATCCAGTTTTTAATGTGCCAAGTTGTATATATCTGCTGCGTGGATGTAAAGCAATACCGTAGTTACATGTTCCTTTTTATGGACCAAGCTCGTCCTAATGTACATTCTTGTTATTATTATAATTATTTTACTCTTAGTGGAACATGACTCATTCCATTAACTTTTATGTGTTGATTTAAAAAGAGAAAACAAAACAAAAAAAACACAAAACAAAAAAAAAAAGGAAAAAAACCCTTTGAGAAAAAAAAAATATTTTATTAAAAAAAAAAAAGAAATAAGAAAATAGTTTGGAATATTTTCTTACTGTAGAGAAGCACTGTACAGTACCAGGAACCCTGAGTATAAAATACTCGTGCGTGTAGTAGGAATATCGCATGTCCAAACCCTCGAGTTGTCTCATTTAGTTTCAAACAGAAATCATTGTCTCAAATGGTGTTAAACACTAAAAAGTTTTTAAAAAAAAAAATAAAAAAAAATAAAGTGCGTACAGAAGCGAGACACTAGCTCTGTCATTTTATCTTTCTTTTGTTGAAAGACTAAACAAAATGTTTTTTAGACAATCAAATGTTAGGTAAGTGCAAAGAATTGTTTTTTCTTACTGGTGTAGAAATTAATGACTTTTTTTATTTTTTTGGTTATTTTATAATACTGAGCAGACCCGTGTGTCCCCAGGATCGCCGCCGGAGTCAGGAAGCACTACGTTACTGCAAATAGAGCTGAACCTTAGTCTGCATGGGTGTAGGCTGTGTGATTGCTGAAAATAAATGCTGCTAATATATTTCCTTTTTACAAAGCATATCTAAATAGATCATTGTTTTGATGTTAATCTTTGTAAATTATGTATTACCAATTTTAACATTGGATGTAATTGCATAAAAAGCCTGCATCTCAATCCTGAGAGTCTAGTATTAAATGGAAAATCTTTTCCTACGGCTGGCTCGGGGGGTTTTCTTTGGTGCCAGAGGGCAGGAGAATCCTGCCTGGATCCACGAGATCCACGGGATCCACGGGGTGAGGGTCAGCAAATGCTGGGAGCTGCCCCTGGGTCACAGCAAAGCCTCCAGGCTCGGGGAAAAGCGGCTGGAAAGGCCCCGGGGGTGCTGGGGGCAGCAGCTGGACGTGAGCCAGGTGTGCTCAGGTGTGCTCAGGTGTGTCCAGATGTGCCCAGGTGTGTCCAGATGGCCCCAGATGTGCCCAGGTGTGTCCAGGTGTGCTCAGCTGTGTCCAGATGTGCTCAGGTGTGTCCAGGTGTGCTCAGCTGTGTCCAGATGGCCCCAGATGTGCTCAGGTGTGTCCAGATGTGCCCAGGTGTGCTCAGCTGTGTCCAGATGGCCCCAGATGTGCCCAGGTGTGCTCAGGTGTGTCCAGGTGTGCCCAAATGTCCCCAGGTGTGCCCAGGTGGGCAAGAGGCCGATGGCCCCTGGCCTGGAGCAGTCCCAGAGTGGCTGGAGCAGGGCAGTGACCCCAGGCCCCTTCGCTGCCTCTGCTGAGGGACCTCAAACCCTGCGGTTGGTTTTGATGAGAAGAGATTGAGGAGCGGGAGCATGTCCAGGGCAGGGAACGGAGCTGGGAAGGGGCTGGAGCACCAGGAGAGGCTGAAGGATCTGGGAAAGGGGCTCGGGGGGAATTTCTGGCTCTGCACAGGTCCCTGACAGCCAGGGGGGTCGGGATTTCTCCCAGGGAACAGCGACAGGAGAACAGGGAACGGCCTCAGGCTGGGCCGGGGGAGGCTCAGGGTGGAGAGCAGCAGGAATTTCCCCATGGAAAGGGGTCAGGCACTGGCAGGGTCTGCCCAGGAAGGTTTGGTTTCCCAGTCTGACTCTATGATCATGAAAATGCCAGGCTTGACCCCTCCTACACTCCTTTTAAACCCAAGGCTGAGGCTTGGAGGGCTGTTTATTAAATAAATAAACAGAAGAACCACCTGACTTCCTCCCCTCCTGGCATGACCCCGTTTCAAAGTCCAGAAGCAGCTGCAGAATCCAATCAAACCTCTTTAAGGCAAGCCAAGGAACATTCCAATTAGGATATAACGTCACTTGTCTGAGAATAAAAATTCCAGAGAGAGAAGTGAAAATGAGAGCAGAGTGAAAGGAGAGCAGCTTTACCCTGGCAGAGGGGCTGGCCCAGGGGATGACACAGCGGCTTTTTGCCACCCAAATGGGAAATCAGAAGGGTGAAATGTGGCCCTTGGCCATGGCAGGGAGCAGAGGCCCAGGACACTCCTTTCTGTCACTGGGGAGTCCAACATGAAATGTAAATTCTGGGATGAAAACACTGCAATGACAAAAACGTGAAAAACTTGGAGCTGTTTAGCCCCTACTGCCATGCTCTGGGCGGTGAAAAGATTAGTTGGAGTTAAATAAATAACTAAAGCAGTGACCTGGGCTGTTCCCAGCGCTGCACAGCTCCTGTGGAAGCTTCTCCAGGGATATTCCTGGCTCTGGGAGGCTGCAGCCGCCTCTCCCACGCTGTGGAGGAGCTCAGGCACCTTCTGCTGGGGCTGAGGCTGATTCCAGCACATCCCCAGCCAGGCTGATCCCCCTGGAGCCCCCATCCCATCCCATCCCATCCCATCCCATCCCATCCCATCCCATCCCATCCCATCCCATCCCATCCCATCCCATCCCATCCCATCCCATCCACATCCGTGCCCATCCACACACGTGAGTCACAACCTTTATTTCCAGTTTTTTTTCCCCGTGGAACAAGCTCATTCCTGTGGTTACACTATGTACAGAGTGCTGAGCAGGGCTCGGGGAGGTGGCAGCGGTGGCAGGACACGGTGACACGGGGCAGTGTGAGGGCCGGGAAGGGACAGACACAGGGACACGACCCGTCCCTGCCCTGCACGGGGGTGGGCAGCGGCTGAGGAACCTCCCCGCGAGGAGGAGGAGGAGGAGGAGGAGGACACGGTGGCAGCCGGTGGCGTCATGCAGCAGTGACAGGCACAGGGCAGGGTCCCCTGGGAGCTGCCAGCCCCGGAGGTCTGGCAGGAGACATCCCCTCCCAGAGCTGGCACCCATCCCGGCAAAGCTCAGCTGCTTCCTCAGCTCCCTTCCACCTCCTCACAAAATCAGGGATGTGTAACCAACAGGAACGAGGCCGGTGCTGTTTCCATGGCAGCAGCGGATCCAGTCTTCATCCACAGTGGAGAGGAGCTCCAGGATGTCTCCTTTCTGGAAGCTCAGGTGCCCCTCGGCGGTGCCCGTGTGGTCACACAGCGCCCGAACCGCCCTGCACCACAAATCTCATGGCACGGTCACCTCCCCGGGGACCCCGAGCACCCCCAGAGGCTCCCAGGGCTCACGGGGGGAGGGAACTGGGCAGAACCAGGGATTTCCTCAGGCAGAGGTGGGATCTGTACCAGGAGCCACCTGACAGAGCCGTCCTGCCCCCAGGACAGGCGTGGGGACATCAGAGATGGCCCAGAGGGTGTGGGGATATCGCGGTCAGGGCCAGCGAGGATGGGGAAGAGGGAAGCAGCCAAACACCGTTTGGGATGAGCCCACCCTGCTCACTTGGGCACAGCTGTTCTGACCGGCCACAGCCGGGTCACAGCCGCCTTGCCCCAAGGAGGCTGACACGAATCCGGAAAGTACGCAAAAAAATGTAAAAAACTATCCCCAAAACGCCTGGGAAAAACAGCTGGTCCCAGGTAGGCAGAGGCTCAGGTTCCCCCAAAGCCCAGCAGAGCAAGGGGAGTTGTGGCTCAAGTGGGCAGCGGTGCCTTTCCCTAGAGAGATGTGCACGACCCCCAGGCCGTGTCTGAGAGCAACCCCGGTTCTCCCCCAGCCAGAAACGCCCAGCGGCAGCAGCAGCTCCCAGCCCTGCTGGCTCCTGTGCCCTCCCAGCCCTGCTGGCTCCCGTGCCCTCCTTCACCTGCTGGCTCCCGTGCCCTCCTTCACCTGCTGGCTCCCGTGCCCTCCTTCACCTGCTGGCTCCCGTGCCCTCTTTCACCTGCTGGCTCCCGTGCCCTCCCAGCCCTGCTGGCTCCCGTGCCCTCCCTCACCTGTGGGCCTGGGGCAGGACGGGGCTGCTCCTGTCCGGCTGCTCCGGAGCGCGGCTCCTGTCGGACGCCAGGCCCTTCACCACCCCGGCCAGGACACGCGGGCTGGGGGACAGCCAGCGGGACGGTCTCCTGCCACAGAGCAAAGAGAGCCACCAGCTCGCCTGGGAGCTCTTCCTGCTGTTTATCCCAGGCTGTTCTGGTGACCTGGGAGCTGACAAGGAGCCATCAAGCAGCACGGAGCCTCCCCACGTTGCTCCACAGGACTAACGGGATGCACTTGGGACAATGCACTAATCCCGGGGCACTGACCCTGGGCCAGGGGCAGTACGAGACCCCCACGAGGCCACCGTGCTGAGCCAGGCACAGAAACCCTTCCCACCTCGGCCTGCCCAAGCTGGGACTTACCTGGACCTGGCCAAGACGGCGTCAGGGCTGGGAGGGAAGCTCCTGGATGAGGGGCTGGTGGCTCCAAAGAGCCGGCCCAGCCAGCTGCCCTTGTCAGGACTGGGAGGATTACCCATCTCTGGGCCAGAAGGTGCTGCCTGGTTCCTGTTGGCAGGAGGCTCTGGGGAAGCAGCCGGGAGATTCTTTCCAGCACTGGGATCATCCAGCTTGGTGAGTGCTCCAGTTCCAGTGGGCAAGAACAGGTCTTCAGGGGAAGAGGTCCCTGAGGTGTCAGTGCTGCTGCTGGGCTTTGGGCCGGAGCATTCGGGGACAGCTTTGGTCTGAAGGAGCTGCAGCTCTGTGGCCCTGGGCTGACTCATGGAAGTTTGGGATTGTGCAGCCTGGCCCGGGCTGGGATCCCCCGCAGCCGCCCGCAGCTTCGTCCACCAGACCAAGGGGAACTTTTCCTTGCTAGGAGCAGTGTAAATCCTGGAGCTCTGGCTCAGCTGGCCCCACCAGCCACCGAGGCCAGCCCCAGTGCCCCCAGTGCCCTCCTCAGGCCCGTGGCTCTGCGGGGAGGTGTCAGACCCCAGCAAGGTGCGGCTGAGCCGGTCGCCCCAGCGCAGCACGTGCTGGAAGGTTTGGTGCAGGGCAGCCCCCACTGGCGGGGTAGGGACCAGCCCACCCATGGTCGCTTGGGACCGGGCCCTTGTGCTGCCCCCTGCGCCCCCCACCCTGCCCAGAGCATCGGGGGGGGTCTCATCCTCCAGGCTGTCCCCGGCAGCACCGCTGAGGCCCCCCAGAGACACAGCCCCCCGCACCGGGACGGGGCCACGGCCGGGAGACAGCGGTGACTCCAACCGGCGGGACAAGGGCCGGACATCCACGGAGAGGTGATGGTGTTCAAAGAGCAAGTCCAGGTGGAAAGTCAGCACCGAGAGGGGTTGGATGAGCAGCAGCAGTTCGTCAGCGAGGTGGGGAAGAGGGCCTTGGCTCAGGGCAAAGAAGGCCGTGGGTGAGTAAAGCACGGAGATCACACCTGTGGGGACAGGGACAGGTGAGGCAGGTGGAGGAGGCCTTGTCACATCCCCACCGAGAGCCAGCCATGCTGTCCACATCAGGCAGAGCACCCTCTGTGCTGAAGATGCACCAGAGAAAATAATGCCCTGATCCACTGTGGAAACTTCAGCCAAGCATGGATGTATCCCAACCCCAGAGTGGGATTATCAGCCTGGCAGGGATGAGAGGGCTTGGGGAGGGAGCTCCCAGGCCTTGTGTCCTTACCTGGGCTCTTCTGCAGGTGAGATATCCACAACTCCAGCTGTTTAATGCTAAATGAGACAAAGGGAACCCAAATTAGAGCCCCTGGGACAGTTCCAGCCTGCCGTGGCAGTGGGGCCAGAGGGGCCAACACTCACTTGAGAAGGCCGAGGATAAAGGCATGGAACTTCTGCCTGGTGCTGCTGAGGGGGGCCAGCCCGGCCACGTGCCAGCACAGGGAGTGCAGGGAGCGGGTGTTGGGGCCTGTGGGGTGCACAGACAGTCACTGCCCAGGGCACACATCCCCCAGCAGGATTCCAGGCGTCTGGAGATGCCCCCAACCTCACCCTCACCTGTCTTCACGGAGGCTTCCACCACACTCCAGGGGGAATTTTTCCGCTGGCCTGTGATGACATCCTTCTGGAACGGCTTCAGCCCGTCCTCCACCAAGGCGTAGAGCGCGGGGCAGAGCGTGTGCAGCAGCAGGTACCCCACGTCGGGGTTGAGCCGGCTGTCCCCCAGCTGGGCCTGAGGGAGGCACAAGGAGAGGGGAGGGATCAGGGCAGCACCTGACCCTGATCGTGCTGGGAGGGATGGGTGAATCCCACCCCTGGGACTCCCAAACCGCCTCCTGCCCGGCCCAGCCCAGCTCTCACCTTCTGCACCAGGTTCCGTGCGGTGCTGAAGTGCGCGATGACCTTGTCCACGGCGGAGCTGACGGCGACCAGCAGCGCTGGGGATGCAGGGAGAGGAGAGAAGGGTGGGTCCGGAGGGACCCGCCGGACACCAACACCGGACCCTGCAGCGCCCACGGTGACCGAGCCGGGCCGGAGCCGCAGGCGGGGACCCTCGGCGGGGCTGCGGGGGCAGCTGCACCCGCGTTCTCCACCGGAGCACCTGCCGGGGGCGGGCAGGGCCGGGCCCGGTGCAGGCAGCGCTGCCTGTCCCTGCCTTCAGTGTCCCTACGTGCCCTTCCCCTGCCCCAGCCCAGCGCTGCGGGTGCCCCTCGCACCCTCCCGACCCCGGGGGTCCCGTTCCCCCCTCCTCCTCCTCTCCCGCCCCGTTCTGTCCCACTCCCTCGCCCCCCGCCCCGCGGAGGCTCCGGGGAGGATCTGCCCCAACCTTTCGTTTGCTCTCCATGGGCCCCTTCCGCTCTCCCCCCTCCGGGCCGGGCGGCTCCAGCGGCGGCTCCAGCGGCGGCTCCAGGGGCGAGCGGCTCGGGCCTGGCTGGAGAGAGCGGGGCAGCGGGGTCAGGCGGGCCGGCGGCCGGAGCGCTGCCCGGGGCCGGGGGAGGAGCGGGACCGGCGGCGGGGCCCGGCTCGCTCCGGCTCATGGAGCCGGGGGCGGCGGCGGGGTTAGGCCGGGCGGCGGGGCCGGGCCCGAGGCGGAGGAAGCGCCCTGGGAGCCGCGGGGCGGAGCGGGACAGCCCCGGCACCTCCCGGGCCGGGCGATGGGAGCGGTGACCCTCGCCGTGCCCGGCCCGGAGCGCCCCGGATCCGCTCCCAGCGCCCTCGGACTCGCACCCGGCCCCGCAGCCCCCCCAGGCAGAACCCCCTGACCCACCCGAAGGGACCCGGACTCACCCCCCGTGCAGGTCTCGTCTCCTCTCTGGGCCGCCCGTGGCACCGCGGGGTCCCCGCCGGGACCCCCGAGCCTCCGGACCGGGGCAGTTCCCAGCCTCTTTTCCCCTGGGGGCAGCCCCCCCTTCTCCACATCCCTCGGCTGCCCCTCCGCGATGGGCTGCAGGCTCGGCCGGGGTCTCCTTCTCAGCTGGTGGCCGTCACTGGGTGCCAGCACCTGTGTCCCCAGGGGTGCGGGGGGTCCCCAGCCCGCGCCCGTCCCCGGGGGCACAGGGGGGTGCTGGGCCGGCTCTGCCCGCTGGCCCTTGGGCTGCCTGGCGGCACTGCGGGACCGCAGCTCCTTGAACGTCGTCACCTCTCTCTGTCTAGAACCGGGAGGCCTGGCTGGCCCGTCCTGCTGGGGCTGGGGCTGCGGCTGGGGCTGCGCTGGCTCCTGGCCCGCGGGCCCGGAGAGGAGCTCGCTGCTGGGGGGCAGCTCCGTGTCAGGCGAGAACACGATCAGCCAGTCGCTGCGGTCAACCCTGGCCTGGGCGAGTGTGGGCCCAGCCACGTTCCTCTTCCTCCTCTGGGCCAGCTCGTGGAAGGAGGTGATGGTCTTTGTGGCCGTGTCTCTGCAGGGCTCACCTGGGCCGGCCTTGGGCTCTGCCGGCCGCACTGGCCCGAGCTGCTGCTCCGCTCTGTGCGCGTTGAGGACCTGCAGCCGCCGCCGGGGACGAGGGGGCACGGGCGGGGGGAGGCCGCTGGGCCGCGGCCGCGGCTCCGGAGCGCTGCTCGGGATGCCGGGATCCTGCCGCTCCGGCACGGGCGGTGGTGCTGGAGGCGCAGCATCGGGCTCGGGGAGGGGGTTGCAGTTGGGGTCTAGGTCAGCGCAGGAATGCTGTGCTTCTGTGCTGGGCGAGAGCTCATCACATTGCGAGTCGAGCGAGTTATTGCTGCAGAGGCTGTCTGGGCTCTTGCTGGCCACGGCGGTGGCTCTCCGGAGCACGGGCGAGTTGTGGTTGGCATCTCTCCCATCGCACGTCCTGTCCTGGGCAGCCAGAGACTCTCCATCCCGGGCGTTTTCTGTGGGAATGACGTTCAGCTGCTTGTCAGGGCATTGGGACTCTTCTCTGGCAAACCCCTTGCAGTACACCGAGACAGGGGAGTCATCCAAGCTGAAATCCGAGCAGCTACTGACAGAGGAGGAGGAGGAGGAGGAGGAAGAAGAAGCCAGATCACAAGGGGGATCACAAGGGGAAGCTGCCTCCTCCTCGTCTCCGCTGTGCAGGCAGGGGAAATCCTCTTGTACTGCCTGGTTCTGGATCCCGAGGGTCTCCGGTTCTGGATCGTGGGATTCACAACATTGGCATTTCACGGAGGGGCTGTTGGAATTGGCATCCACCGGCTCACGGTTCTCCGGGCAGTGGATGCAGCCAGTCTGGTCTCCCCTGGCGGTGGAACCATCGGTGTCCTGGAGCTCGGGGTGCCGGGAGAGGTGCAGCCCCAGGGAGATGTGCTGCAGGTGGATGTGGTTGAGGTTGCACAGGAGGCCTTTCTTTGGAGCCAGCATGCTGCTGCCTCACTGGAAGTGCCGAGGCTCCCAGGAAAGGTCGGCAGCTTCTCTCTTCAGACCATCCAGCTCCCTGTAAGCACCAAACACCCTCCTGGTCAGGGAAGAGCACAGGGGACAAACCCGGAGAGAGGCATAGCCGGGGGAGGGGGGACGGCAGTGACCTTGTGGCAGGGCCCCGCACAAGGGTCTGGGGGTCAGAGATGGGGATGTATCCTGAGAGAGGGGCTGCCCCACGGCTTCCAGCCGGGCTTGGGGCTCTGTGGCCGGGCAGGGACTGCAGCCAGCCGCTGGTCCCCGGAGCATGGCCTGTGAATGATCCCAGGAAGCTCGGCTGCTCCGGGGCTGGATTCCCTCCGGAGGGTCAGGAGCATCTCGGGGATGCCGTCAAGGAGAAAACGCCCTTGGAGCCTCGTCGAGGAGGGGGGGCGGGTACTGTCCTGGCTAGGGGCGGTGGCACCGCGGGTGCTCAGGGACCGGGGCTTGGCCGGAAGCCCCCGGTCCCGGGAACCGCCGCAGAATCGGCACCGCACCACCGGGCCCTGCCTTTCCGGGGGAAAGCCCCGGCCCCAGGCACCTGCTGGAGGCTCCGGGCACGGAACGAGCAGCGGAGACCCCGGGAGAGCGGCTCCGAGCATCGGGCGGTTCCGAGCATCGGCCGGGGCCGAGCATCCCATCCCTCGGCCCCGAGCATCCCTCGGCCTCAGGGCGAGGACCGGCGGCCAGGCAGCAGAAGCGGCCCTGCTGGGCGCGGCCCTCCCCATCCCCCTCCAGCCCCCGCCCGGCTCCATCCCCTTCCCCGTCCCCCGCTCACCTCGGCGCTGCGGCGGCGAATGCGGCTGCGGGAGGGAGGGAGGGAGGAGCCGCGGCCCCGCCACCGCCCGCCGGGAGCCGCCCGGTCCCGCCCCGCCGGCGGGGGCGGTGCTCCGGGCATCCCCCCAACCCCGGGAAGCACGGGGAGTGCCGGCATCCCCCTCCCCGCCATCCAGCCCTGTCCCCAGACAACACCGGGCACCACGCACCTACAATAACTTATGTTTATTGACACACGGCCGAGGGGGAGAGCGCTGAACCCCCCCGACCGTCCCAGCGCACCTTCTACAACCCGCCCGCGGCCCCTCCCAGAGCGGGGAGCGGCCACAGCCAGTAAATGACTGAGCCCAGGCTCCTCCATCACTTCTGCCGCTTGTAGATCTTCTGTGCGAGGTCCAGGAAGATGTCCTGGGGCAGGTGCTGGGCGTGCTTCCCAATCAGCTCCTGCAGCCGCCGGTAGCTGCTCTCCTCGTACTCCCGGAAAGCCGCCTCCATGCCCAGTGCATTGTAGAGCTCCTTCACCTTCGCCACCTTCTCGGGCTCCTTCTGGCCGTAGTTCTCCTGAGAAAACCCGGGAGTGTCAGGTCCCATCCCAGCTCACGGCGCTGCTGCTCCGTCAGGATGGGGCACGAGCTTTGCTCAGGAGCTTTGTTCTCTGTGCTGCCCCCTCGTAGTGCTCAGCCCCCTCCTCCCAGCCAGGTAACAGCCTGGGACTGAACACTGTACACTGCAGGTGTGCATTCTGGCTCTCCAGGTGTACATTGTGGCACTGCAGGTGTGCATTCTGGCACTGCAGCTGCGCATTCTGGCACTGCAGGTGTACATTCTGGCACTGCAGGTGTGCATTCTGGCTCTCCAGGTGTACATTGTGGCACTGCAGGTGCACATTGTAGCACTGCAGGTGCGCATTGTGGCACTGCAGGTGTGCATTGTGGCACTGCAGGTGCGCATTGTGGCACTGCAGGTGTGCATTCTGGCACTGCAGGTGCACATTCTGGCACTGCAGGTGCGCATTCTGGCACTGCAGGTGAGCATTCTGGCACTGCAGGTGTGCATTATGGCACTGCAGGTGTGCATTGTGGCTCTCCAGGTGTACAGTCTGGCTCTCCTTTCCCTCTCCCAGCTATGTGATCCCAGACTTTACCTCCAGGATCTGCCTCTGCTCTGGTGTGACCCGGCGCAGACACTCCACCACCAGCCAGCTGCACTTGTTGTCCTGGATGTCAGTGCCAACCTTCCCTGTCACTGCTGGGTCCCCATAGCAGTCCAGGTAATCGTCCTGTGTGACAATGGGACCACCTGAGTGCCACAGCCAGCCCCTGACAAGCACCAAGGGAGCAGAGCCACCTCCTACCTGGATCTGAAAGAATTCTCCCATCTCCAGCATGATGGCTTTGGCGTTCTCGTGCTCCTTCTTATCGTTAATACCCGCCTGAGGGGAGGGAAAAAATAATAAAGATAAATTTTTCCAAGACCTGCACAGCCTCACATGAGGGTGAGGCCCCTTCTGAGCTGTTCCCACCAGACTCACCATGTACATGGCTGCAGCCACGGGCAGGTAGAAGGAGTAAAATGCTGTCTTGTACTTCACAATCGCCTTGTACCTGCGCCAGAGGAACCAGGCTTGAGCTCTCCCACCCTCTGCAGTCAGGGACAGAAGGGAGCAGCAGCAGCTCCCCAAAAAGCAGCCCCAGGGACAGAGCTCTGCCCCTCCCCTCCGTACCGCTGCTCGCTGAACCGGCTCAGATCCACCTGGGAAATGGGAGCAGTGATGAGGTCCAGCGTCTGCCCCAGCTCGGTCTGGTAGCCTGTCTGGAGAGGAAAGAAAGGATTGTGGCCTCATTGCAGCCTTCCAGCACTTAAGGGGCTTATAAACAAGAGGGAGGAGGATGTTTTGCACGGGCAGAAGTAACAAGAAAAAGGGTGATGGTTTTACACTGGAAGAGGAGAGATTTAGATGAGATATGAGAAGGAAATTGTTCCCCGTGAGGGTGGGGATGCCACGGCACAGGGTGCCCAGAGAAGCTGTGGCTGCCCTGAATTCCTGGAATTGTCCAAGGTCAGTTTGGACAGGGCTTGGAACAATCTGGGATAGTGGAAGGTGTCCCTGCCCACGGCAGGGAGGGGAGAACAAGATGATCTTTAAGGTCCCTTCCAACCCAAACCAGTCTGTGATTCCATGATTTATTCACACAGTCCTCCAGGAAAGTCCCAACACCACAGAGGAGCCCCCAAGCCCTGTTTCAGCTCCACTTTGAGTCCACAGGAAGGGCGTGTCCAGCAGGATGCCCAGGAATTCAAGGAACACTCTGAGATCCACGTGCTGTCAAACATCAGAAAGGGCCCAGACCGCAGGAAATCGGGAAGGGTTTTGGGAGACGGGCTCACCTGCAGGAAGAGCTCCAGCAGGTGCAGGTAGTAGGGCTGCTGCCCACAGTACCTCTTCAGCAGCTGGTACACCGATGACTCCAGGAGAAAAGCATCATTGATGGCATCCAGCCCGATCCCCTCCTGCACCAGGAAGGCAGGGAGGTGTCACAAAGCCTCCTGACTCGCGGGGGACACCCCAGGTGAACAGGGGCTTCCTGAATACTCTCACCTTCTTGTACCAGCAGAGCTGCCCCCGGCGGGTCAGGGACGCGTCCATGATGTCGTCAGCCACCAGGAAAAAGGCTTGGAACTGCGAGAGGCTGAATTAGGGATGGGGGATCCCCCGGGGGTCCCATCCCCAGGGTCCCGTTTCTCACCAGCTCGATGCACCAGCCCACGGCCAGGGCGCAGCGGAGGCTCTCCGGGTCCAGCTGTGCGGGGCCCGCCAGCCGCCGGAACGCGGCCACCACCGTCAGCCCCCGGTTGCACTTCCCTCCCGGTGCGTTGTACTCCAGCACCTGCGAGAGCGGAGCGAGGTGAGCAGCCCCGGGCCGCAGTCCCCGACCCTTCCCACCCCTCAGCCCCGACCCTTCCCACCCCTCAGCCCCGGCCCTTTCCACCCCTCAGCCCCGGCCCTTCCCACCCCTCAGCCCCGGCCCGCAGCCCCCCGGCCCGGCCCGGTCCCACCGCCCCCTGTCCGCACTCACCTGCTTCAGCCGCGCCACGGCGTCTCCCAGCTCCGGGTGCCCCAGCCCGACCTCCGTCAGGTCACGGACGATCTGCGGGAAGAAGGCGGCGAACTCCTCTCGCTCGGCCGCTGCCCGCGCCCCGGGCCCATCACCGCTGCTCATGGTGCCGGTTCACGATCCCGCCGCTGCCGCCCGCGGCCTCCACGGCCCCGCCCGCCCCGCCCCGCCCCGCCCCCTGAGCCGGGCACGCCGGGGCACGCCGGGACACGCAGTCCTGAGCACCGGCACGGCCGCTGCCAGCGCCGCCGCTGTACAACAACTCCCGGCGTGCCCCGCGGCCGGGGTAGGGCCAGCGGGCCGGGGCTGGAGCAGCGCCCATTGGTCCATTTCATCGCGCGAGGATGAGCCCAAGGCGGCTCAGCCAATAGGAGTGCGGCACGGGCGGGACCGAGGCGGGTGATTGGTGGAGCGGGAGAATGGAGCGAGCGCCCGGCCTGGCGCGGGGGCGTGGCCAGTCTGAGGGGCGGGGCTTGGGCGGGATGAGGGGCGGGGCGTGCCCAGGGGGCGTGTCCGGTAACCACGAGGGGAATGGGATGCGCTGAAGTGGGAGAAAAATGGGGGTGTGGGGTGCTATGGGTGGGGTTTGGGGCGCTCTGCAGGTGTGGGTCTCCATGCAGGTGTGGAATACCATGCGGCTGTGGGTGCAGCACAGGTATGGGGTTCAGCACAGGTGTGGGGTGCAGCACAGGTGTGGGTGCAGCACAGGTATGGGGTTCAGCATTGGTGTGGGGTGCAGCACAGGTGTGGGGTGCAGTGCGGTTGGGGGGGTGCGTGGAGGTGTGGGGCGCCACGCGTCTGACATGCTGTTCAGGTATGGGGTGCAGCATTGGTGTGGGGTGCAGCACAGGTGAGGGGGCAGTACAGATGTGGGTGCAGCACAGGCATGGGGTTCAGCATTGGTGTGGGGGGCAGCACAGATATGGGGTGCAGTGCGGTTGGGGGGGGGCGTGGAGGTGTGGGGCACCACGCGTCTGACGTGCTGTTCAGGTATGGGGTGCAGCATTGGTGTGGGGTGCAGCACAGGTGAGGGGGCAGTACAGATGTGGGTGCAGCACAGGCATGGGGTTC